CTAACATGAGAAAGAGATCGTAGACATCTATGATCAAAACCAGTCAACCTTTTCATGTCTTCAACTCATATTGGCCATGTTTCAGAGCCATAGAGAAGGACGGAGCGAACTGCTGAGCAGTATACACGTCCCTTGGTTGATAGCCGGATGTCACGCCTATGCCAGAGATGGTGTAAGCTAGCGAAAGCAGCTCGAGCTTTTTGGATCCGTGCTGAGATTTCGTCACCAATCAGTCCATTGGTGCTGATACAACTTCCCAAATAGGTGAAGTGGTCAACATGATTGTAATGATAAAAGATCGTATTGAATCAATCAGAAAGAGTGAATAATAAGCGGTAGAATAAAATAATAATAATGATAATAACGGTTATTAAGTAAAACGTTTTAGCATGGTAGATCCAGAGAGACCACCATTTCCTTCTGTACACAGAAACCAGGTTTATAACCGCTAATTGTACAAGCTTCCACAATTCCAAGCACCCCTCTGTTTCTTCGTCTTGACAGTATCAATATCAATACTCATTCCAACATCAGAAGTGAGGAAATTTCCGCTTTTATGTACTAATAATGTTCAGTTTCGATTCATCGGTGTTTATTCCATAAAGTTGATGGCGTCGCAATGCGAAACCGCTTGAGAACACTTTTCGCAGATTTCTTTTTGTCTGGCCTAGAATCCGGTATTTTTTAACAGCAAATACAAAAAATATTTAAAGATTTGAAATACAAAAAACGCAATCGTACCTAAGTTATGCTGATGATACTTTTTTTGTCTGTGAAAGCAGATCAATAGCTGAAGACCTTTTGACAAAATTCAACTCATGCCATCCAATTTTCAACTTCACAACAGAACACTAGGAAAATGATACTATGAAATCCCTAGACGTTTCTCTAGTGAAAAGAACTGATGATATAATCAAAAGATCATCTCAACTGTTTTGTTCCAATCCAGTAGGAAAAGAACTTACTCAGAACACTGTTCAATAGAGCACAAAAAATTTGTTCTGACAGTACAAGTGAATATGAAATGAAGGTTCTGAAGGATATTTTATCTAAGAATGGATTCCATGAGAAGTTCATCAGCAAACACTCTAAATAAACGAGGTCTAGTATATCTATCAAACCAGTTCCGAAGAAATCTGCGTATATCAGTTGCTGTTCAACTAAGATGATTTGTACAAGAGGTAGCCAAATAAAGACTCGATGAAGCTAACAGGAGAACTTATTATGCTGCAAAGCACATCTTTCTTAACACCACAGAGTAAGTGCTTCAACAGTCTGGGAAAGAGCAATTGCCAACACTCGACACTTCAAACTGCGTATATTAGGTCGTACATAAATGCGATTGCCTACCTGCATGACGGAGACATTTGTCAAGGTGGTTGGAAACAGTTGAATTCAATGTGTCAGAATGTTTGATGACAAAGCACCTTGTTGACTACGGACATGATATCGACGCTGACAAGTCATTCACTGTTTTCAGCAGACAAAGCAACAAGAAGATGCTTGCAATTGTGGAGGCTTGTGAGATCAGGGTTTGTAAACCTGGTCTCTGTGTACAAAACGAAATGGTGGTCTCTCTGGATCTACCATGCTAAAACCGTTATTATCATTGTTATTAATATTTTATTTTACCGCTTATTATTCACTCTTTCTGATTGATTCAATAGGATCTTTTATCATTACAATTATCTTGAATCGTTTTAACGTTATTATGATTGTTATTAATTATTATCAGTTATTACTATTATTATTATCGTTGTTGTTATTTTAATCTATAGTTTGGTTTGTAAGGATTAGTTATGTTTTACGAGTTGATCACTGATATCAGTCCGTGATTATTTTAATCATCAATAAAATTTAATTCGCAATTCTTGATATATTCAAGTTCTTTCACTCACTGATAACTAACTAGCCTTACAGGTATCTAACTATAAACTTCTACATTCCACGTAATACTATTTAAAATTCCTCATAATTTCAACCTGGCATTAGGAAACATAGTATTTCACTTCTATCCCTATATCCACTTAAATGAGACATGTAACTATGTCATTTTGAAGAACGAAAACATACAAAAAAATCCTAGCAACCAGCTTTCAACAATCAAATCGCTGAAAAAAATAAATCCCTTTGAACTTTTTATCTTCTGTCTAATGTTCTGGTGCGTATTTTCAAAAAATTATTTGAAGATTTCTTGATAGAGAAGTTATATTACCGTTTACTCGACTGAAACTCTGATCAACAAAAATGTTATCCAAACATTATGATCACAAAGTCATGAAACACTCTTCAATTCTCGTATAGTAAGAATTTTTATGAGTTAATCACGGATTGATATCAGTTAGAGAACCATTGCAAACCAGGGAGTGCTGGACAGCTGTTTCATCCTAGTTTTGGAATCATCGGCAGCACGCACCCACTGGGATTCGAACCCAGGACCTTCCGGTTACAAGGCGAGCTCGTATACCATTGTCCCATCTACGACAATGGTCGGGGTCAAGCTAAATCATGAATTCGTAGAAGTTAGAATTCATGAGCCATTGAATCGGGTCACAGTGACTGAATAGTATACGAGCTTGCGTTGTAACCGGAAGGTCCTGGTTTCGAACCCCAGTGGGTGCGTACTGCCAATGATTTCCAAACTAGGATGAAACAGCTGTCGAGTACTCCCTGGTTTTCAATGGTTCTCTAACTGATATCAATCCGTGATCAACTCGTAAAAACAAAACTAACCCTTACGAACCAAACTATAGAAAACAGTAAGAATTTCTAACAATGGAATCCAGGATGTGGATTTCGTCCTATTCGGGACTCATCATTTAATTTTTTTCTGTATAATAATTAGTTCTGGTATTCCTACTTGTACTCAAACTCAGCTTTAATTATTTCAAACGCCAAGGTACTATTCACTAGACTAATGGGCTCAAATAACCACTTCTAACTCTTTAAATTGATGTCCTGATAATTTAGTTTAGTTTAGTTTAGTGTAGAGTCAACATAATAAACACACCGGACATTGACCAATGAATTTTCTCAAGCGTTTAAATGTGCTATTCTTGTAAAAATGAGAACCATGTATACATATAATAGAACAAACAAAATCAACAAAATCAAGTTTATGCACAGTAGTTAGAAACAAATCTCATGATACTGCCGACTTTTAAATGCACTAATACTTTTTTTGTTGTTGTTGTTTTGAATTGCGCACTATTTGATTAGTATAATATTAACAGTGGAGTTGTTTTTACATTGATCATGTAACAAACTATGCTACTCTGTTTATGCAAGCACGCATACACATAAAACAGGGGAAACAATGTCATAAGAACAAGAAATAAATTACAACGAGTGTTTTTTTTGTGTGTATATATATGCGTTTCCGTTATTCCGTTAAAATAAATACTTAAAAGTTTTAATTATCTGGTATCATGAGATGACATTTTAGAATAAACCGGTAGAAAATAAGATATTTTCACCACAGAGAATAATTTAAACAAATTAGAGATGGACAACTGACTACACTGCGGAGGAATATCTGCTTCCCTCCTGAATATTTGTGATCAATGGAACATGACATACGAAGGTGATGGATTCACAACTGGGACCAATTCGTAACAGTATAATGCACAATGCTTGTATCAACCTGCCGGACGAATGTGTGACATAAACCGCTTCGAACTCAACTCAACAGTGTTCTGTACCGGGGTTTATTTTATTTTAGTCCTAAGTTTTGAAAGCGAGTTAGGAAATGACAGTGAATTCAAGTCCTTTTCTCAGAAAAGTCATCTACTTTCAAGTAGACGGAAAGAAACTTATGAGTCTTCCCGATGGTTATGAGTATCCTACAGCTACAGTCAGTGAGCTTTACTAATGCGTCAGTTATTCCGGTTGCACTTCTGATTCCTACATCGAAATCTATTAATTATTATCATCATTACTATTTCCTTGGTTTCCGAGTGAAGCATAGGAATTCAACAACACATCTCATTTCACCCGCACTGCTGCAATCCTCTTTAACTGACTCCACGATCACCCAGAACGTTCATCTCTTCTTCACACTGTCTCTTCCATGTCAGCGTTGGACCCGTACAATCTACAGCCTGGCCAGCATGCCACCCAACGGTATCCCCAGTGAGTGTCCAATCCAACCCCAATTCCTTCTGCATATTTTTCGGATGAGATGTCCTTGGCTGGTTATTTGCACTCAAGAATTCCTTGTTGCTAATCCTTTCTGGTGCGCCATTTGCTCTTCACTATGGAGCCAGTGAAGGCAACTGTTGATGAAAGTCTGCAAGAGCCTGTTGGTAATGCTTATGGTGACAAGCGCACCACGTCTATGATCCATAGAGATGAAGCGACTTGATGTTTGTGCTGAAAATCCAAAACTTGTTCCTTATTCTAAGTGTAATAAATTTCCACACTGATTTCAGGATAATAAAGATCTGTTTTGCTTTTCTGAGCATCCCTTCGATATCATTATCCGTGCCATCCGGCTGTAGTTGAAACGATGCTGCCTAGATAAGGAGAGATAAGTGACCTCCTTCAAATTTCTCCCATTGAAAGGGATTGGTAATTTTCAAGTATTGATTTTTGTAGGGATTTTGTTTGATTGGTTGGAGGATTTCATCATGAGCTGACATCAGCTAAAGATTGGTAATTTTTGTTGCTGGTTAGTCAAGGCGTCAAGAGTTCAAGTTATCTGCCACCTGCTAACGCCTAAACAACTCCATATCACCATCAACTTTCACACGATATATGTGTGGGAATCGCGTCTAAACACAAAAATATACCGACCAAAGAGTCTTTCTGTGGTGAAACATAAACCAATGACGAGTTAACAGAGCAAAATAAAAACAGTTCACGTGTAAAGTTTGTTGCCATGCAATGAAAGTAGTAGATCCCTGTCTGCTATTCATGATTGACAGGTTCACGAGTAAACTTCATATGAAAGAAATATCGCAGAAAATGAATACTAATATATATAATACATACACACATACCATATTCATGATTTAGAAAATCCAATCCAAAATTTTCATGAAGACGATACTTTAGTTTCACGTCGACTAAATCATAAACACCTGACAATGCACCAACTGGAGTACCAACACTACTCCAACCATCTTCACCAAATTCATACATTTCAGGTGTACGATTCCAATGGAATTCAATTATCCAATCTTTGAAAAAACTTTCATCATTTTTATCAGTTGAACTTAGTGGAAGAGTGAAACACCTGTTGAATGTATTGCAACACGATGAATTTGTTGTCAGTACTCTTAGATTATCCGGTTCATTGTATGGTGATTTAGATTTGTTTATATCATTAGCAGCATTACTGTTGAAGTTGGTCAAATCATTGAAAGTGTTATTCAAGAAAATTGGAGATTTGTCTAAGATATAAATTGTTCCATCATTTGTTGAATAATCTTCCCGAAGATCAATCGCTATCCGATAACACACTGACTGAAAGAAGAATGAAAACACGAACAACAACAACCTATTAGGGCAAACTATAACTCCAATAAACATAAAAATTTAACTCAACAAACACTTGAGATTCCATGCAGCTGGCGATGAGCCATACTTATTGTGTGTGTGTGTGTGCGGGTTAGGGATTCTGCTACTCAGCTCCTCGAAACTCACTAGGTGAACCGATATTCAACCCCGTTACCTGCCATAATGGATAAGAATTTATTTTTAAATCACACAGTGTAGTACAGTTATATTAACTGATGACGTTTCGAGCACAAACTATTGCTCATAATCATATCAAGTTACTCACACAACTTCTTTCCTTCATTTATATACATGTGTGGAATCGACTAGATATTGGAATAAAATTCAATATGAGATAATGTACATTCAGAAATAATAGTACGAGTGTTATTAATCCATTGCAATTAGATGGGAAATACAACGAGTGTTTTTACAGTCATAATAAGTTGATTGATAGAATGTTTTGATGTGTTTGAATGGAAATAGAATACAATTTAAGATTATTTATTATCCGCTTCTGATTTGACTGGTAGCAATAATACGAGTGTTATTAATCCATTGCAATTAGATGGGAATTACGACGAGTGTTTTTATAGTCATAATAAGTTGATTGTTAGAATGTTATGATGTGCTTGAAAGGAAATAGAATCTTAAGACTATTTATCTTCTTCTGATTTGACTGGCGGTAATAATATCTTCCATATTTCTGGTATTTGCATTGAGTCACTTCTGTTGCATGTGTTGGGTGTAGACTCGATGAATAAGGATTCCGTAATCAACCTCTCTTTCCACCTACCTATATTACTTTTTAGAATTTTAACCCTATCCCACCCTATTGTGTGGTTGTTTGTTATTGCGTGAAGTGCAATAGCTGAGCTTTTTTCTAAATTACTTATCTTTTCAGGGTCAATCATTTTCCCTTTAGCTAAATTCTTATGTTCTGATAATCTTACTATCCCTGACCTACTAGTTTGACCTATGTACTTGACTTCACAGTCATTGCAAGGTATTTTATAAATTATATTATTTTGTTTAATGGGGTCCAACGGGTCCTTTAACCTACAAAGTTTGTCTCTGAGTGAGTTTGTTGGTTTGAATGCCACCCTAATTCCTGCTTTATTGAGAATCCTACGTATGGCCTCAGATGTCCCCTCCTTATATGGTATAACAGTAGAAGACTTATATTCTCTCTTATTTATGTTATTACTACTAGTTACACAATTATTTTTATTTTGTTTTTGGCGTTTACTGATCTTCTTAATGAATTTTATAGGATAGTTATTCACCACCAACGCTTCTTCTATCTGTTTTATTTCATCATTTAGGTCCTTTTTTGTGCTACTTAGTGCTATGGCTCGGTTTGTCAGACACTTAACCAAGCCTGCCTTAACAGTTAACGGATGAGATGAATTAAAGTCTAAATATCTATTAGAATGCGTTGGTTTTCTATAAACACTAGTGTGTAGTTCGCCTTTTTCTATTCGTTTTATCTTACAATCTAACATGGTTAATTCTCCTTGTTCATTTTCTGATTCAAATGTGAATTTTATTCCTTCTACTTGTGAGTTTATATGTGTTAAGAAGCTAGAGATATGTTCTGTTTTTAACACTGTGAATGTGTCATCTACATATCTCCACCATATTTTTGGCCTAGGATTAAATGTATTGAGAGCACTATTTTCCCAGCTGTCCATAAAGATGTCTGCTACAATAGGGGATATTGGTGATCCCATTGCTACACCTTCAGTTTGTCTATATATTTTGCCTTGGAACTTGAAGATAGTAGATGTGAGGCATAGCTGAATCCCTAAAATAATTTCTTCAATGGACAGCTTTGTCCTATGATTGAGTTCAGTATCCGCAGTTAGTTCTTTTTTAACTGCTTCTAAGGCCATATTGACTGGTATATTAGTATAAAGACTGGTTATATCAAAACTGACCATTGTTTCGTCATTAGCTAGTTGAATGTCATTTAGTTTACTTTTCATCTCATATGAATTAGTTAATCTAGAGTTTGAATTATTTCTGATAGGGCATAGTATTGAAGCTAAGTGTTTTGATAATTCATAAGTTGGGGTATTTCTAAAATCTACTATTGGCCTTATTGGGTATCCTGGCTTATGTATTTTAATAGTACCATATAATCTACTAGCATTATTAGTTTTAGGCATTAAGTTAAACCATTTAGACTCACCCAGTGACGGCTTCATTCTGCGTATTAGTTCTGTTGTAGATTTCTTAACCTTATTCATTATTGTATCTACAGGCTTCTTAATTTCCTCATATGGACCCGTTTGAATATGTTCAATAACTTTTTTGATATAGTCAGATTTATTCAGAACTACGGTGGCGTTTCCTTTATCAGCTTTTGCAATGACAATATTTTTATCCTGTTTTAGACTAATTAAAGCTTCTCTTTCCAATTTTGTTAAGTTTGATTTTGCCTTCTTTTGATTTTTCAGGGTTAATGCACATTGTGCTCGAACCCCTTCTGCTGTTGTCTTATCTATTGAACCTAGCGCTACTTCTATGCTAGGAATGACATCCTCTGGTTTTAATTTGTTAACTGTTACATTGAAATTTAGTCCTTTCTCAAGTACTTTTATCTCACTAGAGCTTAGTTCTTTTGATGAGAGGTTGATCACCCACTTTGTTCTGTCGATAGAGGATGACGCGTTGACATCAATTTTATTTGCTGCGTTCCTTTCTTCAATTAGTTTGTTGAATTTTTTGATTTGTGTGGCTTTTGATTTTCTTGATGCTGATTCTCTAGCTTTTTCGGATGTTTCAACAACAATTACATAATCTTTGTCATTGACCATACATTTGAGTTTCCGTTTGAGTTTTTCGATTTCATTTCGTATATTATTGAGTTTCACAGTAATTCGATGTAGTTCTTCTCTTAAACATAATCTACTGAGATGTTCAGCTGCTGACGATATTTTTCTTGAAGTAATTGGAGTTCGTATGTGTAAATATTTTGGAGTTATATGATTTTTCAAACATCGACTGTTGAAAATCCGATGGTTCGTGAATCTTGCTTCTGTTTGAGAAAGTCGTGTGAGTTTATTGATAAGCTTCCTAGTAGGAAGACCATAGGTATTATTGATATAAGTATAAAACTTGGGCACTGTGGTAGAGTATAATTCCATAATGGATAAGAATTTATTTTTAAATCACACAGTGTAGTACAGTTATATTAACTGATGACGTTTCGAGCACAAACTATTGCTCATAATCATATCAAGTTACTCACACAACTTCTTTCCTTCATTTATATACATGTGTGGAATCGACTAGATATTGGAATCCTTATTCATCGAGTCTACACCCAACACATGCAACAGAAGTGACTCAATGCAAATACCAGAAATATGGAAGATATTATTACCGCCAGTCAAATCAGAAGAAGATAAATAGTCTTAAGATTCTATTTCCTTTCAAGCACATCATAACATTCTAACAATCAACTTATTATGACTATAAAAACACTCGTCGTAATTCCCATCTAATTGCAATGGATTAATAACACTCGTATTATTGCTACCAGTCAAATCAGAAGCGGATAATAAATAATCTTAAATTGTATTCTATTTCCATTCAAACACATCAAAACATTCTATCAATCAACTTATTATGACTGTAAAAACACTCGTTGTATTTCCCATCTAATTGCAATGGATTAATAACACTCGTACTATTATTTCTGAATGTACATTATCTCATATTGAATTTTATTCCAATATCTAGTCGATTCCACACATGTATATAAATGAAGGAAAGAAGTTGTGTGAGTAACTTGATATGATTATGAGCAATAGTTTGTGCTCGAAACGTCATCAGTTAATATAACTGTACTACACTGTGTGATTTAAAAATAAATTCTTATCCATTATGGAATTATACTCTACCACAGTGCCCAAGTTTTATACTTATACCGTTACCTGCCAGTTTGAAATCTAACGCCTATACTAATAAGCCATACCTCCTTTGCAGGAGAAATAAGCTCACAAATTTTAAGTTAGATCACAAAGGGATTTCAGCTACACAATTACTGCACAGCTGTTTCGTCTCACCTTATGACTCTTCAGTAGTATGCACCAATGACTCTACCCGGGAGTGAACGTAGCACCTTCAACTTAAGTATCAACCCCATCAACAATTCAGCCTATAAGTAGGGATCCAATGGCCTATGAATTCCAACTTGTGTAGATTTCCGATATAGAGCAGCAACACCAAACACACAAAACCACACAATCAAATGAGTATAACTTATAAAATATTGGACTTCTGTAAGAAATTAATCAAAGTGGACTTAAAATGGAATACTGTGTATCAAGCACAATATTTATTAAGTCTATACATTTTCTAAATAACTCTGATCTTTTCACTTGATTGAACACAACAAAAACAACCAACTGGACAGAATAACAAGGCAGTAATGTGTTATCATTTAGCGAACAACATAGATCAGCAAAGAGTATTATTTTGGTAACTTCACTTCACAGCTGTACAGTCATACAGTATTCTACATATAACTGTACAAATTCGATAAAAATATACCAAAAGAATATTCTTTTCTGTTTTATGTCTATTCAATAAGACAATATTTCGATTGGACACTAGTAACTGGTGTGACGTGTGTAGTCCTTTCTTTGGTGCAGACTGAATTCTATCAGTCCAGTTTGCAATGTGGCCACCATCACGGTGCACATTGATTTGATGATATTAGATAGTTGGGGGCAATCGGCTGGAAGCCCTGAACCTAGGTTTCGTGCTAATTGGCACTCACCGGTCAGTAAGGCGTATCGGCAATCTTGAAGAAACTCATGTCCCTTCGGAGATTCGAACCCGTACCACCCAGTGCTGCAGTTAGAGACGTTATCACTGAGCTATTCAGGCTCGCGATTAACCTCCTGTGGTAAAGTCTGTGACTGCAGCTCTGCGTGACGCGGATTCGAATCTCAGAAGGGATATGAGCTCCTTCAAGATTGCTAATACGCCTTTCTGACCGGTGAGTGCCAACTAGCACGAAACCTAGGTTCAAGGCTTCCTTGCCTATCGCCTCGAACTATATAATATCAACAAGATAATGTCTCGTTTCCAAACAGGAAGGAAAACGATGCTCTGGGTAGAATAAGATGGTACCATCGTTTATGTCACACTCATGTGGCTTATACATGGAAGCTTCACATTCATGAAAAACTAGTTCAACTCATCACATTGTCACTCAACTTATTAGTTAGTCATCATCTTATCACTTGTCTATATTACGTAACTCTTTTCCCATTACCTCCAAACCTGAACGTTCTGTGTGTATAAGCCACATAAATATAATTTCTGAGCATTGTTCATTAAGTTTCGAGGTACCTCTCAAGCAACATAATGCAACATTTGCAAGTATCTTAAAACTCTTCTGTATGTAAACTTAATAATCTCTTTTAACTGTAAGTAGCTGATGGGAAGAAAATGAAATAAATTATGGGGGAGATGAGAGATTATGGGCAATTGTGGATCCAGATGAAGAGGACCGAAGAAAATAGGGCAAAGTGAAGATGTGCTCTTGAAGCCCTATGTTCCACTCGAAACTCAAGGGAACAATAATAATAGAATTTAGAAAGTGAATTTTTGACTTGAGCGAATAAGCATGACTATAACTATTTGAATGTCAGTATGGCTAATGACTGACTGCAACCTAAACAAAGGTTTATCACTGTTCCACCTGTAATCGGAGTGTCCTAGGTTTGAACCCCGGTGTGTGGGTACGTGCTGATGAAGACGACCAAAGTGGAACGAAAGATCTGTCCAGTCAGTGCTCTCTGGATATCTAATGGTTCCCTTACTGATGCCAGCTTGTGATCAGACCGGTGACCAGTCAAATCGCCTCAAACCAGTACTTGACAACAAAAGTATGTATATATATATATATATGAGATAAATTTTAAAACCCTAGTAAAGTACCTACTTCGTTTGTATCACTATTAGTATACTGAATAAGAAAGTAACCACGAAATTCAAAAAGAGCGCACAATTTGCGTAGATCATCTTGACAAATGACAGTTATTCTATTCAGTGGTGGTAATTGTGATTCTGATGCATATAAATTTGAAGTTGTTCCACTCGACGATGATGATGATGAAGGAGTTGACGATAGTGGTGTAGACTGACTATTTGAATTTCTTATTTCAATACACTCAGATACATTAGCTGAAATCAAAGGATTCACATCTTTTCCACTTTTCTGATTATAATCAGGCAACTGTGTTTGGTCTGCTAGTGTTGATTTCACTAAAGAATAAGACAGTGAAAAGAAGGTCAATTACTTTGAAAAATAACGATGACGCAATCAAATTTCTTATCTAATCATATATGGTTAAAGAAAAATCACGTAACGAAAATAAAATAGTTCAAAAGTTCACCTTTGCTCAAAAACAGCTACCAAATGAATAAATTTGCTTCGATGTATTATAATTATCAGAAATGGCAATAAATTTTAGGAATCAGAAATAGTGTCGCATAAGGGATTCATGAGTTAAAAGGAATTGGTTGGCGGTGAGTCATAACCATAAGTTTCATGCTTGCTGGTAATCGTCAACATAGTGTATCTGAAATCTTTAAGGGAATACCTTTTTTCTGTATTACACAGTACCCATATCAATAATCTCGTTAGCAAACAAGTAGCTACCTATAGTACTTTATCGAGTGACTCTAAATTATAGAATCCCAAAACGAAACTACCGAATGAATGGATCAATGACCTTGAACAACCAATCTGATGAGTCGGCAATATATAGGTGCAACTACAAATGCTGTACACGAATCATGTAGCAAATTCCATCGAGATCTGGATAACAAATTCATGGGAGGGGAGAAAACGGTAGAAGTGAGTGCTAATCAAAAATGGGTTTCTTGGATTATATGACAGCACCCTGCGGAAAGGATATATCCAGAAGATCCCTAATGGTAGGGCCAACGTTTAGTCCTACCTGGCACAACCATTCACAAAGACCAATGGAGTAGCTACGACTAACTCTCATCCCCGCGCTATGCTCACAACGTGGTCAGTTATACGGACGATTTCGCTAATCTTTCCAATGGGACCCACATGAATTCCGCTGGAAGTTTCTCGAGTCACCTAAAAAGTAGGATCACAGTAATGGGTAGGTCAAGAAACATGATTTACAGTTATCTCGATGAATTTATGTACAAAAATTGGTTTAACCTAACTATGAGGACTCCTGTGTGAAATTGGGAGATTTCCTTGGAAAATATACAAGAAGGTTATCCTATGTAAATACCTTTATGTAGACTTTTGTTTTTCAAATCAAGCCTATATAATTCAGACGCATATGAGTGGTCAATAGGGATTTGTGAAGGTCTTCATTGGGTGGTTTCGTTTTGAGCCGCTAGAGTTTAGAGTAACCCTTTATTGATTGGTCCTGATAAGCAGAAACACACCTGCATCGGTAGGTTACTGGTACAGTACTCGCCAACCACTCACTTGGTCTGCGAAAGAGGAGAGGTTGGACGTGAGGCTAGCAAACTCACTCCACAAAAATAATGTTACTGCTACCGGAACTTCAAAGCTCGAGGCCCTATACTCCATCCGGAAGGTGGAGGAATGAGAAAAAACCTTCAAACTAAGTAACTATACTGATTACAGTCTGGTGAACAATTCATCAAATCATAAGCTGTGGCTACTTACTTTAAAAATTTCAAAATCTTTACCTACTTGACTATCTTAGAAATATTCGGACTATGTAAAAGGCTGAAATTAGATTTGAAAGGCAGGGAAATTAGTTAGTAAACGATTTGACTTTTATTTGCATTGCACTTATTGTCACACTTAACAAATACTTCAACTAATCTGAAGTGATTAAACAGCTCTATTTTTTCGCTTTCATTTTAATCCTTTACATTCGAAGTAGAAAATAGTACTTGAAGCTTGGAGTTGGAAGTCTCAATAGCAGTGGTTTTATTCTCTTTTTTATGAGGTGAGTTAGCTAGCCTCACAATCAGTCTTTCCTCCCGGGCTGGCTAAGCGGGATATAAGAGCATGTCGACCGGGATTTGAACCCTGGGCCAAGAGAGGGGTGATTGGAGAGTAATCTGTCACTGAACCACAGAAGTGAATATACAGCTAGTCATCAAAATTATATCAAAACAAATCAACGGTAACTCATTTGTCTCCAACTTGAAAATGTATTCACTACTTCTAGATATGGAAAGAAAGTGAATCCTAGTGGCTTCGAAAACACAAAGAATAACAGTTTTTAAAGTACTGCGACGATTATTCTGAACTAAGTAAAATTAAATAGATTGCACTCTGAAATTGATGACTCGTGCGATCAGGGGTACTGTCATTTGACAAAGACCTTAAACAATGAGAAAGTATTTATGAAAGTGCTCTATGTTTTTAACAGGTTTTCAAAATGTTTATTGTGTGTTGTTTTTTTTTAACGAAATCTAATTTAAAATCAACCTATTCTTCATACATGAATTCACAAGGTAAATGTCCACAATGAACCTACGATAATTACTGAAACACTGGAAATTTGCGGAGATAAATGTTGTTGCTGAGAGGTATATAGTGAGTATACATATACTTTTAGGAATCTTATCTAACTGACTGACTGGTTTCAAAGTAGAACCTTGCACAGATGTGCACCAGTTCCAGTTGCCGAACTCGCTACAAGTACCACACAAACCAGCAGAAGAGAGTAAAGAGAGATAGTAAACAGGAATACGAGGCATCAAGAATAGTAATATGGAAGAACAATCGAATTTTATTTGATATGAGCGATCACGAAGTGTGAATACATCTGCTCCAGTGAGAACTACTTTGAGCCATATCACCATCAATTGTCTCCAGCCATTGGATTTTACCATCCCAGGGACACCAACCAGTTATGAAGTCTATACCTACCTCCCGATGTGGCCGGTTGGGTTAAAGCAAATGTTATGAATTTAATTGACTGATTCCATGTTGGTTTTGGTTTCACCACAATTAGTTCTTTTCCAGCCCGATCCATAGTATGCCACCTAACAATGCCTGTCGAGGAATGCGATGGCTGGGTATGCGTCATACAAACCATAACTATCTCAATCGGTGTAACCAGGAATCTTATCAATCGAAGTGCGGTGATGTTTTAGTGGTAAAATACTTGCCGGCCACGCTCGTAGTCTAGGGATCGATCCCCGGCCAATGCACTTCGAAAACCTCGCTTACAGAAGGCTGGATGCGAGGGCAGGAACCGTAGCCCGTGAAAAAAATAAACACAACCAGAACTGAAAACTCATAGTTCAAGCTTAAAGTCCGATGTTCCACTCGGAACGCAAAGGAATGAAATGTAAACATCAACTGAAGTATACTACTTAGATACAGTTGTATTCTTTGCGCTAAATGGTTGACGTGAGAAGCTTTCATTGTCCTGTTTGATAACTTCTAGAATGTTGACATTAATGTGGAGTGCTTTGTCGCCCGTTCTCTTGTCTTTTCGCAGCAAACTTAAGTCAATCAATTGTCAAGTGTTGGTTTACAGGTACTTGATGGGTTACAGGATTGATTACGTGCTGATATTAGTCAGGGAACCACTGGAAAACTAGGAACCAATACTGAACAGCTGTTTCATCAGCCTAGTTGTGGACTCTTTAGTAGTGCGCACACACCACCACGGTTAGAAACCAGTACCTTCCGGTTAAAAGGTAAGTTCGTATATCCTTAAACCACTGAAACCCAACCCAATGGTCCCCGAATTCCTACTTCTGCCAGTCTGTGATATATACATTTAGCGCAACCGCCAGTCAATGTTATGGGCGAGTAACTGTCTGAGTTGAAGGTTGAGCAGAAGTTGGAATTCATGGATCATTGGTCGGGTCCTAGTGACTTAATCTGATTCCTTGACTCAAACATCACGCCTTACAAATGCATCTCACCTAACAATAGGCAGTAAAATCGAATATTTACAGTTTGTGAAATTTTTTTTGTAAAATTACTTCAAAAATACAGTAGTCGACAGTGTACTTCCCTCAATGAGCAAAGCAGTTAATATATTCTCCAGAAGGACATTGAAAGCTTAGAAAATATAGTGACAGCTACAAAAGAATTGAATAAGTGAAGGAATCATACTAGTTGAAAGTGGTCGGCAAAAATGAAATGATACCATGTTATTTTAACTGATGCATCGTACTAAGCTTCACTAAAACACTTTCGAGATGTTTAGTCATGTGGACAACAACCAGTTACATACAAATAACTAGAGGAATTTTCATGAGTTAGTTTTTATGGTTTTGATTTGTTTCAAGTTTGATCTATGAGCTTGACTTGTAATCGAAAAGTTGTGGGTTCAAACCATGGAGGTGGGTGCCTACTGTTGACGAGTCCCAAACTAGGACGAAATAGATGTCCACTACTCGTCACTGGTCTCCCAATAATTCTCTAACTGATATCAATCTGTGGTCAGACCTTAAATTATGGGAATTACCAGAGAATTTGTGCGTCAGTGGCACAGTGGTTAGGACTCTCGCCGACCATGCACATGGTCCGGCGTTCGATTACCTGCCGATGCACACCCAATATCTATGGTCGGCCTGCAAAATTTGGGCTACCGATATCACCTGCTGGAAATTCCATACCTGTACCAATAATACAGTGTGGAATCAAGCTGTAATCAAAAAAATTTAAAAAATAAAAGTTTAGTGTGAAATTTACTTAATTTTTCGTTGAACTACACCAATAGTTGATAACTAACGACATCATACAGCGCGGAATTTAGCTGTATACCTTACCTTGGGCTTAAATCTACAAGATATACACATTCTGCTTATTGAGTAATTCACCTCTTCTGTTAGTTCTACAGTATCTCAAAAGTCATACTCAAAGATAAGATTATTCAATGTTTTTAGAAATTCAGCCAAAAGATTGCACATTGATGAGAAATCTCTATGAAATTAATGTTTAGACTAATATTCATTCTCATTTTTTTCTCAATCTCGAAAGATGTATTATAGGATGCATTAGAACTTAAATTCGTATTCATTAGATAAGAAATTCTTATTCCATTTTAGTTTCGATTGCTACGTATGTTACACAGTGATAACGGATAATGTCCAAACACCATTTATTATTTATAGTCATGTATGTATAAAACGCAACTACACAACACTGAGTCATGGTTTGTTATCGTCGTCTAACTTACTGTTGCTTTGATAATAAGAGAAATAAAATTATTCTGTAAACACGGAACAATTGTCAGTGTCCCTCTTTAAGCCAACTAACTGATAAATTT